ACCCAATTATGTATTCCGATATGTGATATGAGTCATTTCGTTATGATTTAGTTATTTGAGGCTGACACCTTATTGGTTTAAATATTTATAAGCTTTTCAAATGAAACATTCTATGCAGGGGTGAGATAAGTCATCGTGTTCCCCTACACAAGAGTTTAAAACATGTTCTAGAAACCTCCTATAGCGCATTTTGCTAATTGTAAAACATTGTCAGGTCTTAATTCTGACTTTTACACTGGAAAAAAAAAATTGCCCCAAGTACATTTATACATAAGAACATACTGTATATTATTAAATATAATGGAATCACATAACATTCCTAAAATTTGCTCCAGGTGTTCTGCAGAGAGTTCTAAGCAGGGTCAATCATACTCTGGATCTGGAAGAAGGAAAGGACCAAACCAATCTGTAAATCAAATAAATTTGGGGAAATTCACATATTTGATGCTGGTGATTGCCTCTGCTATGTCATCACGTCGCTAAATGTATGTTATATGCTTACTTGTGCCCACATGAAGGAGAATATAAAAATGCCTATTGTTTAAACCCTTTAAAAAGCATACACATATTCTACAAATGTTAGAATTAGATTCTAAGCTTTCTTTTGATTCAGCGCGTATATATATATATATATATATATATATTTATTTGTTTTTTTTATTTAATGTTCTATCTTTACTGTTATATATTTAATGCAAGTAATGTCACAATGTCAGGAAACCATCATAAAAAACTAAACTTGCAGTATGGGTTATGCTCCTGTAAAAAGAACCTACTTTTTAAGGCTGCATAGTTTTGTGGCCATTGAATGATGTTTAAGCCATAGGGTCTTTACCTGGTCATCCAGCAGTCATCAAACTTTTAAAGTTGAATTTTTGAAGTTGAGTTTTTAAAAAGAATCCTCATTATTTTTCTTGGTTGGTTAGAGAATGTTTCGCGATGGATTTACAGATGAGCTAACCCCCAGAGAAGGCATTATTTTGTTTTTACTCATGAGTAAAGTTGCCCCATGCCATCAACATAGCAGGGTCATAGCCTAACGATATATCCTAGCTAAAGTTATATTACCAGTGGCGTCACAAGGGACCACACCAAGCGGCTGCCATTCTGGTTTCCATGATTAGAGATGTGGATGCTTTTCAAAGTAGTATCTTTTGAATCCTAGAATATGTCCTGACCACAGACAATGTTAGGGGGTGGCTTTAGGGGCTAAATCCCTAGATCTGGGGCTCTTAAGCCGCTGATCCCTACAGGTGGCAGGATACTAGATCTTTTTAATATAGGGCAGCTGATAATCAAAGCTACACAGTCGGACTTCAGCACACTGATGATGATCACACTACTAATTAAACTAAGGAAAACAGTATAGGGGAGAATGGGAAGAAGACAAAAGTGGGGTTTTATAGAATATGAAAAGTGAGTCAAAATGGGGTGTTAAGGAATGACACCCTAGGCCGGACAGCCGGCCGTAACGGAAGGGCAAAGCAGACCGCTTATTGAGGGAGAAAAACAGAGCATAGCAGAGGGGAGACGGTGGGGAGCAGTGTGGACAAGACAATCAAAAGTATGAATAAAATGTCCTAAAGCTGAATGTGTTAATTGTACAATGTCCCCCCTCACCCCCCCCCCCGTTTCTTTTCTGTACCCCGTTCGACCCCCCAACAGGGGTCTGAAAACAAAAACAATAAAAATCAAACTGAAAAAAATGGGGTGTTAGTCGAGACACAGGGGTGTTAGGAAAGAGTCACACACAGAAGGGTGTTAAGGTTTGTAGGGAGATAGAATGATAGGAGTGGGGGCTAAGGGATACAGAATTGTATTAAAAGGTGACATTGAGGATTGACCTTGATGGAGGGGTCATCACATTTTCTATATACTTCAATAAAAACAATAATTAACAAATAAAATAAAAAGAACTTGAAATCATGTCTGTTTAGAAAACTAAACTTTGCTTCCTGCTCACTAAGATAAATGGGTTATATTTTAAACATAAAGCTATAGTACATCAGTTAGAGGTGGCTTTAACACCCACATACAGTGACATACAAGCATTGTAAGAACAATGTGTGCTTAACGGGATTATTTAAAGAATTTGACTTACAGAATTTAACTGGTTATTCTTATTAAAAAAAGTAATTCTGAGATAAAGTTCTCAAAGTGTAGCAGATTCCGTGAGAACCAACCAAATGTTTAGTGTTAGAACTCCAACACTATAAATTATTCTTTATACATAGTATCCAGTGTGGTTAATTCCCTAAACTATAAATTGTGAAGAACTCAAATTTTCAAATCTAAGGGAGAATTGTTTCCAAATGTAGTTTTTCCTAAAATGTGCAAATCCTTTGTCGAGTCTCTACAATACCTGGTTTAGTGTTTTAAACCCAATGAGTTGCTCATATCTATGGCCATAAAACAGTTAAATTCTACCCTTTGTTTGAGGGAACCTTTTATCCTAGTCTCTGTTTGACAGGAGCACATTGTACTGTTTACATTCTAATTAAGTGTTACTGATGCATTCCTGGAAGTTATACAATGATTGCGATTTTCGAGTTTGGTGGCACCAACTTAAACAGTTCAAGATGCCATTATTATATTGGGTTGCAGGGAGAGACATTCAATAAATTGGCAGCTTCGTTGAAGAAAAATCCCAACCCTAAATTATCTGTGTAACCATGATTAGGGATGATTTAAGGCATCTCAACCAGAAGAGTGTAGTGATTTCTGAAGATATTATCCCCTTGTATTGTGTACAGACATAGTTCCAGGATGCCTCGTTTGCTGACCAACCTTTCCAAGAACCCAACCTTCCAAGGACCACCTTCTCATACCACCCGATACCTTTTCCACATCCCAATAAGAGACAGACTACGTTACAATTTTATGGATAGGGCATTGGCCACAGCTTTTATTAAATATTTAACTTGCCAGCAACACATTCCATAAAACAATCCATCTGCTGCTGGGTGAGAAACAGCAGAAAGTTCTTACTTCACTTGAACCAGAGTCCGCACAGCCTGCATTAAGCCATCAGCCTCTTAGCAGGCCCCGAGTCCTCTAGCCTGTTTAGGCAAACATTCCTTTTTCCATAACTGTTTAGCTGGCAAGGAGCACCGTCACCATAATTATGTTTCCAATTACTTGGAACCATTATTGCATCTAGGTTAAAAATTTCCAATTCAGTCAAATTTAAATGTACACCATCAGTTCTCTCAAGGTCATTGTCTCCCTCAAACTCCCTGTGTCTAATAAAAAATCCCCCAAGACACCTAATGAAATGTGGCATAGCCATGTTTAACTTATGCCTACTTTATTGCTTTGACATTGGAACATGAGAACCACACTAGGCAAGGGCCCACTTCAGACCAAATGAGAGTAAAATCCTTGAACAGGGCATGCAAAGGGGCAAAATCATGACGGACTTAAAGAGTTTGATGGTGCGAATGCACCCAATGTCATTAACGGCAGCATGAATCAACAGAGTAACAATCCTGATACAAATCTGGTCAAGGCAGCACATTCAGGGTACAACTGCTCCCACCTTAAAGGACCACTCTAGGCACCCAGACCACTTCAGCTTAATGAAGTGGTCTGGGTGCCAGGTCCAGCTAGGGTTAACCCATTTTTTCATAAACATAGCAGTTTCAGAGAAACTGCTATGTTTATGAATGGGTTAAGCCTTCCCCTATTTCCTCTAGTGGCTGTCTCATTGACAGCCACTAGAGGCGCTTGCGTGCTTCTCACTGTGATTTTCACAGTGAGAGCACGCCAGCGTCCATAGGAAAGCATTAAGAATGCTTTCCTATGTGACCGGCTGAATGCGCGCGCAGCTCTTGCCGCACGTGCGCATTCAGCCGACGGGGAGGAGAAGAGGAGGATCGGAGGAGGAGAGCTCCCTGCCCAGCGCTGGAAAAAGGTAAGTTTTAATCCCTTTCCCCTTTTCAGAGCCGGGCGGGAGGGGGACCCTGAGGGTGGGGGCACCCTCAGGGCACTATAGTGCCAGGAAAACGAGTATGTTTTCCTGGCACTATAGTGGTCCTTTAACCTCCTGCACTTACTCCAATGTATTTGTTCCATCTCATAAGGAAAATGAAGATTACAACAATAACTACATTCCCCCGCTCTCTGAGCAGCTCACTAAATAAAAGAGTGCCCCAGAATCCAAACGTATCAGCTGGGAACACCTATAAACAAACACTTCACAATAAGTGAAACATGGGGGGGTGGTTGCACTCACCTGAACATGCTTAAATGGGGTGCTGCTGGGGACCATATTATACAATAAACAATACACAAGATCCAGTGCACTCTCCTATATACAAAACAGCAACTTCAATGTTGACAGATTTTATTAGTTTTTTCTAAAGGTTTAAAAAAAAAAAAAAACCTAATCTAGGCAAAAAATAATGGGGATTTAGTTACATTATATGATCATACATTGCATAAGCCTGGCACAATGTCAATGTACCCCATCTTTGGCAGGTCCTACTCTCACAGTCTGTCTACTCTTATGTGAATAACTCACTTACTTGGGGGGAAAATTCCATCTGAGGTCCCCTGCAGTACAAGGCTAAATAGGGACCTGAGATGAGGCACCTGTAACAGGGAGGGGTGCAAAATCAAGGAGTTGGCTAGATTCCCAAATATATATATATTTGTGTACGGGGTAATTCGAGGACGTACAATTAAAAGTATGTAGTTCGATAAGGACAAAAGTCGGTTGAGGTGTGCCGAAACCGACGAGAGGTCAGGCCTGCAAAAGAGGGCCCACCTGGTATATAATTGAAAATAACAAAGGGTGAGGTGGGAGGGGAACTTCCAGACGGCGACGATAGGTAAGCTGGGGTTACTGGGGATTTAAATAGGAAAATAACCCCTCCCACAAATTCAGGCATACGCCTTCCACATATAAATAACATGGGGGGGTTGCACTCACCTGAACATGCTTAAATGGGGTGCTGCTGGGGGCCATATTATACAATAAACAATACACAAGATCCAGTACACTCTCCTATCTACTAAACAGCAACTTCAATGTTGACAGATTTTATTGAAGTTGCTGTTTAGTAGATAGGAGAGTGCAACCACCCCCATGTTATATAATACCTAGGTTTCCAATCTATTATTGTTATATATAAACATGGGGGGTGGTTGCAATCTCCTATCTACTAAACAGCAACTTCTATAAAATCTGTCAAGATCAACCACCCATGTTTCATATATTTAAGAGTCTAGCCAACTCCTTGGTTTTGAACCCCTCCCACCAAGTATACCTTAAAGACCCTACTCTCATTAAAGAGCCAACAATGGAGACATAAACGGTATATTAACCCCAGCTCAACTTAGTGGTTATGGTGCTATGATCCTGTAGGCTTTTTCTTCCGGTTTTTAATTAAACCATGCTGCAGCAGTTTTACATTACTGAGTCTCTACCTGGCACCCAGGTACTGCCTAATCTACAGCTGATAAGTATAAATTCATACAATGTTATGCCATGTGCCCTTACCTTTGCACATACTACACAATGAACACATGAAGATTCAAAGAAGAATCCTCCAGATGAAAGAAGCCTTGCTTTGACGACTCACACATGATGTCAATCAGCCACTCTGGAACAATCAGGGTAGGATGAAGGAATAGTGACACATGGTGAAGGGATGGAGAGAGCAATAAACATTGGGTAAGATCTTTAGATGCGATTACTAACAGGACCTTTGCCAGGAGCTCACTGCATTGTGTTTTCGGAAGCCCCATATGACGTCTAACACATTTGCTAAGCTAAACCTTGAGTTGAAGTCTTTGTAAAATATATAATTGTAAATTAACAGTGAAGAGGGTCATCCAACTCATGCTTTTCACAAAGAAAATAGTTCAGAATTATTTGTTTTATAAACTTTTTGCTTGGCTACATCCTCTAAAGCAGAGAAGAAAATCTTATTATAATGTTTGCTTGTTTCTCTATTTTGTTTAGTTTTCCATTGCTGAAGCTAATCAAACCTAGCTGTTAATCATGTGTATCAGCTTTGCTGGGACGACAGTATAATTTCAACACATGGAACTGACAAAGAATGTTATCATGTGTAAACCTTGGTAACACAGCAGCTGCTTGTTTTTTGTGGACACGTCAAGAAAAAAAAAGTTATAATAAAACCAGAAGTATTGAAATGTTTCCATTCAATATAAAACATGGAGCTGTACGAATGGGTTATTATCAGTATTTATATAGCGTGAAGATACTACACAGTGGTGTGCTATCATGGAAAGGGTATACTTGGTGAAGAGGACCCTGCTCAAACAAGCTTACCAATTGAAGATGGCGGACATATATCATTGGGCATCTTGCCCAAGGATGAACCTGGGTTTCCCAGTTCTAAGGTAGTGACATTACCACTGTTCTAACCAGAAATGGCAGAAATGTAAATCAATCTCATGCTAATATGTGGATATTCCTTATAATGCTGCTTTCAACACTATAGGTAGAAAATTAAAAGCTGAGCACCATAACTGCTACTGTTTATTGTAGTCTTTTGGTGTAGTACCTTGGTAGATTGTCAAACCGTTTTAGAGCATGACTGTCACATTTGACAACAACAAAAAAACACCTCACTTAACACTTAATTATGGGGAATGTCTTGGCTACAACTTTAAAGTAAAACTATAGTAGTAGAAATACAAAGTTGTATTCCTAGCACTATAGTACAGCCATTTCACCTAAACAACGCATTTGGTTTCATTTCAAGAATAATGGGTGTGTGTCCCCCCCCACCTTAACACCCAAATCTGGACCCTCTGCAGTTGCTTACACTTTTGCAGACACACACACAGACAGTCACACTCACACTGACAATCACATAGTTACCTCTGTTCATTGTGGAGGCAGTGCAACTCCTGGAGACTGTTTGTTGGGGAAGCAGAGACTCCTTCCTGCTTCCCCTGCAGCACTTGTCTGGCACTTTTTGCTGCGCCCCCGCCACACGGGAAGCTCCGCCCCACCACAATTTTTTTTTAAAAATCCTGGCAGGCTGTGCGGCCGCAGGGCGCCCCCTGCTCCATGGTGCCCTGTGCGGCCGCACAGCACGCACACCCCTAAGGCACACCCACACGCCTCTGACCTACAAAAGTATCAAACAGGCAGGTGTGCAGCCTAATCAGCAGTGAAAACCGACATTTTTGGATTGTGACCATTTTAAAAACACACCATACTGTCAGAAATTCAGAAAATGTGTTTATTCCATTGAGATCAAAAGGCTTGCATAGGTGTTTATGGCAGGAACAAAACCTGTGGTTCAGAACAAATGTGCTATAGATTAAAAAAAATAAAAGAAATCAGGAGTCAGGTAACATCCCCTGTCTACGGTACTTAAAGACAGGTAAATTCACTGCACTAGCTTCGTAATAACAATCAAAATTAACCTTTTCAAAATGTAGAAAAAGTACTAAATCAGAACGTTATGATTCTCGGAATCCATGTCTACTAAAATGTTTCAGCCAGTTCCTAGCATCATTAAATATTTTTAGTGAACTTCATGGTTCTATCAATACCCGTTTGATCCATAAATGTTTCTGCCGGGTTCCTAATGATGGCCAATATTTCTCAGTCCTTAGATTACACAAAATCCCAACTCCTAATGATAAGGTAGTCATTTTTCACATAATCATTTCCGTTTCCATATGTTTTACCAGACGGCCAAGATTCCATAAGACCTAGAGTCGCTTAAATGAATCCCTCTGACACTGTGAACTCTACATACTGTTATATTAGTCATAATATCTACATCATGCGGAACGTCTAGCTGTATGTAGAAAACGGTGTCAATTCTTTCCCGAATACTTGTCAGACATATCCCTACTAAATGAAGTTTGCCCATTGATGCCCATAGGTTAACCGGCCTTTGGATTATACCTCCTATTGATTGAGCCAAATATGGTAGGGGGTTTTCTTTTAGCAAGCATTCCTAGAAGGGGCCATGCAAAGTTCACACAGGAAGCTGTGGGGTAAATCTAATAACAGCTACAAGGATTCGGAGAGAGAAAGGTCATATTTAGATAAATGACTATAATTTAAATACCCTTAATCAGTCACACATAGCGTAATTCCATATGATTACTGGAAATGTCTGAACTTTGCAAATTTCTCTTTTTTTCTTTTTATTTTCCTTCCTATTTAATTTTGAACAATCATAACTTACTGTGAATTACCGACTCTCTCAGCAGCATAGAGATGGCAACAGTTCCACTATTTATCACCCAATTTGCTTCCCCAGTGATACGTAGTAAACTGACTTATCCAAATAATAATTCCTATCAGCTGCACACATGCAGATACATTTCCCATTCATTCTCAATAAAACATAATTCATTCCTGATTTATGAAGCAATACATTTCTTAAATTCTGATTTATTTTTTTTAGAACATGCTAATGCTGCATAAGAATTAAATAAAACATTATTTGTGATTTCGGAGTAACCGAAAAGGGCTAAAATTGGAAACTCTAAGTAGTCAAATTGGAAAAAAAGCCAAATTTCTTTATTAAAATTTAAATTAAAACGTTGCAATTCCCTTGTTGGTTCTGCACAATTTCTGGTTTTGTGATTAACCCTCAAAGCTAACAATCAATTAAGTTGTCAATATCTAGTACTAATTGGCTGTATTGTAAAATAATGTAACTTACAGTATGATATGAAACAGTCTGTTTTACTATGCAGTTCATAACCCAAATACCTTTCCTTATCCCACGGATGAGCCATTTTATTAATATTACATTGTAACGTCTGTGACTCAGTAACCTGGGATCTTGTTTCAAATATGTTTTAAAATTCTTTGTTTTTCTGCAGAGTCCAAGAATGGGATAATGAAGTGAAAATATTTACCTGGAGCCTAAGTACAGATTTGGATAGCACCTCTAAATGCTTCACTTGCTGGAAATCTTAATCCCTCAAGGACCAATGATATGTGGGATCTTAAATTTTGGAATAGGATATTTAACGTCGTAGCTATCTGGTCTGTAAATATCCTATTCCAAACTTTAGTATCCCACAAATTTAACAGCAATAGGGCTGTACAGGTCCAACAATGTTAATACAGGACCAGATGCTGGCAAAATGCCAATGGCAATGAAGGGTTAAACTCTGACATCAATATTTTGCATAGTTACCACGTATCAAGTAGTAATCACATGTTCCACTACATTAACTAGTTAAAAATGTTGTAGATTACATTTTATTCAAGTGAACTGCAAGTTTAAAAAAACACTTTTTTTCCACCTGCAAATAAGAACTGGAGATTTTGCTATATTTCTCTGTATATTAACAAGTAGAAGGAATTTAACACTTAAATCTGTTTATAAAATAGGTGTTTGAAAGTCTCAGTCATGGAATTGAAGATATTTTAGAGATGTTGTACTGCCCTCTGCAGGTGTCTAAAGGAAACAAATACAAGTTGATACAGTTCATATACATTTTATTGCACTATTTTCTTGTTTAGGAAACTGGACGTAAGATGTCTGGTTAAGTTGTAGAATAATCACAGTTTAAATATATTTGTAATTCTCATCATTGTTTTCATTAGGAAACATAAGCATTTTGCTTCTGTGTCAAGGAATAATTATGGTTGATAGGTTACTCCAATCATCATAGCCATTTCAGTCTGATGCAGTGGTTATGGTGTCACGAGTAACCTGGCCCAGTTTCCCAATAATGGGGCAAACCGTTTGGCAACGGATTACCCCCTTACCATGGTTCCAGAGCCACAGAGCTGACCACTTTAAACCAATGACTGATATAATGTGCAATGAAAGTTGCACAGAATTGACATGCTAGTTCCAGGCTGGCTGATGACACCCCTATGATGATCCGGAGATAGAGTGGCACCTCTCTCAGCAGAGAGTTTAAACTATGTACGTGCAGCAAATCATAATGACACTCCATCTTCATGACCACTTCAAATCACTGATGTGGTCATGGTGCTTGGAGCTTGGTGTAACCCATTAAGAGGCTATTTGCAATAGGTAGGATTATAGAAAATGAACATTGAAAATTTAGATTTTATGTCTTTATATCCCGATTGGAAACATAGCCGAATTGTTTTCAATTGAAGATTTTTGCAGTTCATTTTATAATTCTCCACCATTCTAGATTTAGTGAATAGGTTACTAGTTATTGACTATGTCTTCAATAGTAGTATATTTTAGTCTGTGATCTACAAATGCTCTGTCCTTGCAGATTACCTGCATACTGACTTGGCACTAAGGTGACATTGGCGGGTAAATATGGTTGTGTTCATGACTACTGGTAAAATGCGATTTTCCATCTGTTCATATGGTTCTAGTGCTCATCAGTATGTTACTCAACTTTTATTATATATTTCACATGTAGGTACAATAATACATTATGATTCATTCATTAAAGGTTCCCTTAATACCTACAATATAACAAAGAATGGAAGTGGTACAAACCGTCAAATTCCTTCTCGTCAACAAACACATTGTCACATTTATAGAAAGTAAAAACACATAAAGGATACTGTACTGTATAAAATAACACCAATAACAATATAACAATGATGGAACTTAGTTCCGTGTTACAGGGACAAAAGCTTGATGCGTTTACTTTAAAAGAGTAAAGTCGAAATGTGAAGTGTAAAATGGAAATTAAAAGTGAATTTCCCACTTTCGGTCAAATTAGGCAAAAACACCAGGACAAAAAAAATCTATAAGTCAGATATATTTTCAGTTCTTGTATTATGGCCTACAATTTTAAATAATTTTTACATTCACAATAATTCAAACTTTTGTGAATTTTCGACCTTTTTTTTTGCACAACTAGAGCTGAATGTTGCTTACTTACGTATTCATTTGGCTGTCATTCCTTGAGTTCTTACAGTCAGCCAAATCTTGATATAAAAAGCAATACCAAAAAACAACCTGAGATAAATTACGTCCCAAAACAGTTTCTAAGTACCCTTAATATATATGTGTGTGTGTGTGTGTGTGTGTATGTGTATGTACTTGTATGCCTATAACTTGAGTAAACAGTAGTCAAAATGTAATAAAGAATCCTCAAAAACAGAAAGAAAACAAATAGTGCAATATGTTACATTAATTTTATATATTAAATGGGTGTTCAAGAGAACAAACTCACACTTTGTTGAGCTACTCAGAGTTCTACTGTTTAGTGTCTAGTGCTTGGATGGTACAATCCTTGTCTCGGGATATGTGAAGATCCACTTGTTTAACCCCTTAAGGAACGCGGACATACTAGCAATACCTCTGCAAATTAGGCCCCTGCAGGCCATGTGATTGCTCTGAAACCAGTGGGTGCCCTGAGTGTAAGACCTGAGGTGTCTACGTTTGGTATATATCCCTAGTGGCGTTCAGGAGAAAGTCTAATTATAGGCTAGGATATACATACTTCAACTCGCTTGCTTAATATGTTACACTGGGAACTGAGTAGGCACAATGTGTTAAATGCTTGAATATGAAAATAAAAACAGTGCTAGGAGACATGTCAGGCCACCAAGAGATTAGATTGCTTAGTTAAGGTAGTCCTTGTTAAGTGTTGTTAGAGCAGATAGGATATCAATACCCCTGAGTCCTGAAAGGTGATATAGGGACTAAGAGTGATGAGAGTCTCATTACGTTACTGGAGATGGTCTTGCCCTGTGTTAGCAGGAGTTTCTTAGTCTGGTTGTTGCCCAATTCCACAGGTGGGCCACAGCAGGGAGATTAGCAAGTGAGTCCCAAGATTTTCAGACCGTGGATCAGTATTCTTCCCAGCTGCTCTCCATCTCGGCTTCTTGGGTGGTCCCCGCTGTCAGGGTAGGGTCTGCGTCGTTGTGGTATGTGCTACTGCGGGTATTTCCACGAGGGTGCAACAGGATTTCACTTGCTGCTTCCATAAATCCTGCTTCGCTGTAGGAAGCTGGCGAATTGATAGAGGGCCCTTTTCCCATGTGCTCTGTTAATTTCCTCGCTTTCAGGTAAGCGTCAGGTCGGCCCCACTGGCGGCCCGCGCACATGGCTGGCTTGCGGCGGCCATCTTGCGAGTTGTCGCCCGGCGGATTGTCCTCGCCAGGGCGGTTGTTTAGGCTCGGGTTGGTGCGCCGGTTTATGCTCCTGCAGACTCCTTGTTGATTTACTGCTGCCATTCACCATATATTATAGAGAGCGCCTAGACCCTTTTCTTTTTAAATCTTAATATAAGTTTGCTAATTCAGCTGTTTACAAACAGCCAAGCTGGAACCAAGTCCCCTTTATTTATTTGGCCCAAATCCCCTGACGAGGAGATTTGCATCTGTAAGTCTAACACTTTGTACTTTAGAGATTGTTCTTGTATCACATGGGTGTAGAAAGTGGAAGAACAGGGCCAGGGGCATTGATATCTCAAGATAATTTTGCAGTTCTGTTTTGAGCTTTCTATCTGTAACAGTTTACAGTATCACACACACATTTCTAACCAGTGAAAAGAGTTCAAAATGTCTCCAGTTTTAGATCTTATGATAATGTGAAAATGTCACAGCGATGCAAATGCTGCCACGATGTTGTTTACACGTCGTTTTTGCCCTTATATTGATTAGGAAGAATTTCTGCATCATTGTTCATGTCGATGAGGAAGATCACCCGCATCATATTTGCTTAGGTTTAGGGTTAGGAATACAGTTTTGCTTGGGGTTAGGCCTATATAGATATGATGGCGCGATATGATGCTGGGTTGACCCTTACATAACACTTTTTTTTTTTTTTAGTTCTTTCAACATTTTTGATGCGATTGGCACTTTGTCAATATATTTTCTACCTGTGCGACATTTTTAATTTGTACCTTTGACGCTCATTATTTTCTCTGTGTCACTTCAACAGTAAGCCGTTTACTACAAGTCACTGTTTGGTGACTACATTGTTGCATCATATACTGTTTAATCAAGAATGAATAAACAAAAAACATATTTTAAAGGAATGTTTATCTTTCCATATAGTTCTCCATATATTTTATAGAACACTGGCATTTCAATACTGAGATGTAAAAAAAGTTAGAGGCATAAAAATTGTTGTCTGCTAATTTAACACCTTTTTATGATTAAAAAAACAAACTATTCTGGTTTTGTGAGAAATGTCTGATTTAGATACTCACTAAGGATGATGCCAGATTGCTTAAAATGATTAATAACTGAGAAATGATTAGCTTATTCTTTGCTTAAAAAAAAAAGCAAATCCTAATTATATTGCCATAAAATACTCAGAAACACAAACAATTTAATATTGCAATGAACTAACAGATTAACAAAAAAAAATTTAAAAAAAATATTGCAATGAACTTTTAATGATACTTACTGACTCCCTGGGTACGATTTTTAAGTGTTCTGTTCTAAAAATAGGTACAAAAATGTAAAAGTCCCACTGGTTTCCGTGGTTATTGCCCCACTTTAGACCATTTATAGTACAGAATACATTGATAAAGCTCCCTCATCGCGATAGCTTTCACTTATACAAAACCCCATGATTTTATGTATTTTCTCTCATTAAGGATGCACAGGGTTTATTTATTTATTTTTAGCAAAAGACCATCTCCCATATTTTTTTTGCGTTCCTAGGCACATGGGGTTGATTGCCTAATAAATTAGACAGAATCGGATCAGCTTGGTGTGTACAGATGTTTTATTGTACTTAGAGAACTGAATGAAGGAGAGATTGGGTCCATTCACACAGGATACCAAAAAAATAATCTGACAGCATCTGTTTCCTGGCATCTCTGGAAGGTAACCCCCATCACTGGGAACCATTCTTTTTTTTTTCTTTGCTCCAAGCCATTCATTCATTCAAGTTTTCAATGAGTTTAATGTTAAATGGTGTTTTTTACATCACTATAACTGATCATTATAAGCAGGTCATGTGTGCTATCACAACACATAGAGAATTAAAAATATAAAAAAGGAAAGAAAAACAGGGAAAAAATGTTTTTTTTGTTTTTTTTTAAAGTGTATGTTACCTCAGGAAAAGTATTTTGGCACATGTTAAATGTGCGAGGAAGTATCCGGCTGTCTATATTTTGTCTGTGGTTTTAAGGATATGATATAATACCATTCACCATTCAAGGTTACCTCGATGTTTTGACAAATTTCAGATGTTAAAAGGAAATTTTAGTTAACATAGGAAGGGAAGGACTAGAAAAAGGCACATTAATTCATCCTGTGTCTAATTTAAAAGACCAGTCCATGGAGAAATAAAATGGACTGAGTTCAGATCAGACAAAGTTTGTTCGAAGGAGACTGGGAAAAAGGAAGTGCATTAATCCGATGGACAGGTAGGGGCAGAAGGATATGAAGCGACATATGATATATATGGGGTGATAAAGAGACAAAATAGGGACAACGAAGCATATAATTGTTAGGACAAAAGGGACAAAGGACAAATGTTCTGGGGGGTTTGGGGCAGAGGCACATCTGGAATGATGACACAAATGGAGAGTGGGGGGATTAACACAAGTGAGGGAGAGATGGGCCAGGAAGACACGACTGTGATAAAGATGAGAAAGGATTAACAAGTGGGGTAAAGATGGGGAGAGAGACAAGGAGGAGTAATGGAGGAGAAAAACAAGCAGGGGAATAGGGTGTGAAGCAGAGGTGGGGGTGAAAGAGACAGAAGACAGGGATGGATAAAGGAGGGGGAAGCCATAACAGGAGATGGGAGAGACATACATTAGTGCGGGGAGATGTGAAGATCAGGAAGAATAAATATACATTTGGTAGTACACAGTCTTGACACTTAAAACCACATTTACTCACTACACAAAACCTATCTACATGCATTCACATGAGCATGGCATACAAGTAAGATAGCATAGTAAAGGGATAACTTAGATTTGGCCAGAAATGCTGCCCTAATTCTGAACCGCTAAATTTTCTTCCTATAGCATCCTAAGCTGTGGTGAAGGGACTGCACACATACCCTCCCTGCTTCATAACCACCACAATAAGCCTTTGTAGCTATGGTTTTTGGATTGTCGGAACGCATTAGACCCCGCTCGTCGCGGGACGGAGGAGAGGGCGGTGCTTTGACCCAGCACCGATGGACATCTGCGCTAGGATTAGGTAAACAAAATGTTTTTTAACCTTTTATTTACCGCGAGGGAGGGGGGAGGCAGAGGTATCGGTAGTGCCAGGAATACATCTTTGTGTTCCTGGCACTACAGTATCCCTTTAACCCGTGCAATGCTGGGGCGGGGACCACTGCGGGGAGGGCTGTCAGATGAGAACAGTAGAAGTTCTCTGATTTTCTTCCATCATATAAGTGAAAAGTCAGCAGGGACATTTGCATTGCTGGAATAAGCAGAATAGTTCAAGACGTAGTGGCAGCAAAACAACTGAAAAGCCTCACGTCAGCTGTGTAAAGTGTGATAGAATGTCGGTGTATCAGACATTGTGTCTGAACTATATTAGCAGCAGTGAGAGCAAGAAGCAGTAAGGGGCCTCTAGCACTTATAAACACAGCACCAGGGCTCTGTCACGGTTACAGAAACACTTTGCACTGGGTCACCATGTGCTACAAAAAACAACCACTAGATGGTTGTAGAAGTTGGCAAATTAATCTCAGTAAGCTAAAATGTGCAATGTCTGTGCACTGAATTGCTTATTGCACCAGAGACAATTTGTTGAATTAGTGTGCTTACTACCTAATTCTATCCCTTGTTCAAATATGTTGTTATTAAGGTCACAAGGTCTCTGAGGCTGTATACATACAAGGCTTCCCATAATAAGACTAACAAAACTATTGTACTTGTTACGTGCAAAGTGTATCTGTCCAGTACACACAGCCGTGACTACAACGATATTATAAAAAAATACATCTATACACAGTGTCACGAATGCACCCTACTTCATTCTGTGCGTGACCTAGTTGTGGTGGTGAAAGGGTTAAAGTTCACTATTTGTCTGCACTAGTCCGGAAATAATGATAAATGTCCCCCTTAACCCTATCCACACTTCAGCATAATAATATAAATATTACTATATTACTATTGTAACGCTGCCGCCACCAAGACAATTTATAAATGGGATGCCTTGGTCCCCCAGGTAACTTAATAATAAAAAAACACCAAATGTAACTTGGCACAATATCTATGTAATTGCAAAATACTAATTAGTCTTTTCAGGTAACATGATTCTTTACCAGACAAAGGCAGAACTTAATAAAGAAATATTTATTATGAGCAAAAAATAGTCGATAAACAAATCATTTACCCCAACAACAGATAAAAACAAAAGGGTCAACAGTCCTAATCACTTACTCAGATTACTTAATGCTTTCCTATGGGGATCTTTTTTTGTCGCTGGAGGCCCATGAGGACGTCAGGCGTCAAATAAATGTGATTTACTCTGTTTCTCTGATACTGCTATGTTTTCAGCTGTAGGGTTAAAACAAGGGGGACCTGGCAACCAGACCACTTAATTGAGCTGAAGTGGTCTGGGTGCCTATAGTGGTCCTTTAAAGGGACACTATAGTCACCAGAACAACTTCAGCTAATGTAGTTGTTCTGGTGGGTATTGTCAGTCCTTGCAGGCTTTTATTTGTCTTTTCAGATGGCTGCCAGAGGTGCTGCCTGGGGCAGTGCTGCACAGTCTACACTGTGCAGCACTGACTTTTATTGTCTCCACATTCTGCATGGGGACACCAAACTTTCCCCAATAGAGATCAATTGATTTAATGCATCTCTATGAGGAGTTGCTGATTGGCCAGCGGAAATTTGGCCCTGCCACAGGCCCACCCAGGTTCGGTGCCAGGATTTTTTCTGCCCTAGGCAAAAAAAATGTACCGCCCCAATCGCTCCATGCTTGAATCTATGTAGGGACAGAGACACTATAGTGTTCGGCATATTTGTTTATATTACTAACACTATAGTGCTCCTTTAAAAGTATTGAATTTTTTTTTATTAAAATGGTCCTTTCTGTCTAAATGCAATCACTGATAAATACATACACATACTCACACACACACACTCATTCACTCACTTACACTCAATGGTCCACACAATCAGTGACCAATGCACACACAAATTCACTGACTCAAGTAGACATGCACTGATTCATGTAGACTGACATATACACTAACACTGTCCCAAGCGCGCACACACACACACACACACACACAATGACCC